AGCGGCGGAGGAAGAGGTCTCAGCAGCATCAGAGGAGCTTTCGACAGCAGCTGAAGATGAAGTCTCGGCGGCAGAGCTGGAGGTCTCAGCAGCAGCGGAAGATGAGGTCTCGGCGGCTGAAGTGGATGTGACGTCAGCAGCGGAGGAAGATGTCTCAGCAACAGAGGTCTCATCAGCGGCCGAAGAAGAGGTCTCATCAGCAGATGTACTATCAGTTCGGACAGCAGTCGACAGTGTAGTAGCCTGAGAAGTAGTAGTCTCATCGTCGGCAGAGGTGCTAGAAGCAGCTTGGCTTGAGGACTCCTCAGCAGAAGATGAGGTGGTGGCAGCAACAGAGGTAGACTCATCAGCAGAAGAAGACGTCTCAGCATCGGATGAGGTGGTGGCAGCAGCAGAGGTGGACTCCTCAATAGAGGTGCTAGACTCAGCAACAGATGTGCTAGAGGCGGCCTCGCTGGTAGACTCATCGGCAGCAGAAGAAGAGGTAGAAGCGGCAGCAGTGGTAGTCTCTTCGTCTGCAACAGAAGTGGATGAAGCGGCCTGGCTGGTGGATTCATCAACAGATGAAGAAGTTGTGGCAGCAGCTTGGCTCGTAGTCTCATCATCAACAGCGGCAGTAGAAGAGGCAGCCTGGCTAGTGGACTCCTCATCGGCAGCGGAGGTGGATGAAGCAGCTTGGCTGGTAGTCTCATCATCAGTAACCGATGTAGAAGAAGCGGCCTGGGTAGATGACTCCTCATCAGCGATGGACGAAGTGGTAACAGCAGCCTCGCTGGTGGACTCCTCGTCAGCGGCAGAAGAAGTGGTAGAGATTCCAGCAGGGGCACCAGTGAGATCTTCAGAGGTAGCTGTGGATGACTCCTCATCAGCGGTGCTGGTAGTGCGGGTCAAGGTGACAAGAGTAGTAGCGCTGGAGGTCTCATCATCAGCAACTGAGGTAGAAGTACCAGCGTCAGCTGAAGTGGTCTCTTCGTCCGCCTCAGAAGTGGTGGTGCCAGCAGCAGTCGAAGTGCTAGTTTCCTCATCGACATCAGTGGTAGAAGCACCGGCAGCGGAAGTAGTGGTCTCCTCATCGGCATCAGAAGTGGTAGCATCGGCAGCGGAGGTTGAAGTTTCCTCATCAGCATCCGAAGTGGTGGTACCGACAGCAGCAGCTGAAGTGCTGGTCTCCTCATCGGCATCAGAAGTAGTAGTTTCCTCGACAGCAGAAGAGGTGGTAGTCTCCTCGTCAGCAACAGATGTGGTGGTCTCATCCGCCTCGTCAGTGGTAGAAGCGGCGGCAGTGGTAGAGGTAGACTCATCAACTTCTTCTGAGGTAGTGACATCAGCAGAAGTGGATGTCTCCTCGTCAGCGGCAGAAGTGGTAGTCTCGTCAGCAACAGAGGTAGTAGTCTCCTCGTCAGCGGCAGAGGTAGTGGTCTCCTCGTCAGCGGCAGAGGTAGTGGTCTCCTCGTCAGCAGCAGAGGTAGTGGTCTCCTCAGCAGCAGAGGTGGTAGTCTCCTCGTCAGCAGCAGTAGTAGTCTCCTC